GTGCCCGGGGGGGAGGTCCGGACCCAAAGCAACATCCACCAATACCGTAACCACTGAGGCGTCCGACGAGACAGACCCATCAACCGATCCTTCATCGACGGGGGACAAAGGTAGCTCCAGTCCGGCCAGGGGGGGGGGAAGAACCGACGAACAAATCCGCGAAGTAAGGGACACCAGGCCCCTCCGACACCACACTGGCAGGGCCAGCCACCACCCCGGGCTCAGCCACGAATGGCTCAGGCGCCTGCATCCCCGAAGGGAAGGACGCCACCGTGGGCAGCCGCGCCGTAGCCACCTCCTCTTCTTCTTCAGCCACCCCCCTGCTGGGAGGCGGCGTCATGTCCCCTGGCCCGCCGAACGGAGGGGAGGGCGAACGCCTAGCCGCAACCAAGGCCGCACGCTCCCTTTCCGACAAGTGGAGTCGACGAGACAGTACCGAGACGTGGTGGCGAAGGCGCGAAACCTCTTTCCGAAGAAGAGAAGCCTCATCAACTGACGCCGAGAGGGAGGACAGGGCCGCCCGACCCTGCCCGCCGAAAGGGAAGAACCTCGCTTAGACATTGAAGCGACCGACCGAAGCGAACGAACGACGGAAACGAAGAACCTAAAGGCAACAAACGTAAGGACAAAGCCTTACGAGGTTAATAAATGTAAGCGAAGGTAAAGATTCCTTCACGAACAAGACCTGAAGTTATCGTGAGATAAAGTCAGGGACGACGTGGAGGTTAGGTGGATCCTTGGAACGTAAAAAAGGGTGTCCGAATTCAATCTAACTTTATATTTATACTCGCGCGCGCCTTACAGGCTTATGCTACGAGCGATCATCTCTCATACACCTACCATAAGGGCAGGCGGGCCTCCGGCGGACCACAAGCGGACCGGAACTGCCTCGCAAGTCACAGCCTGGGGCCGGGGTCCCCACAATACACCGGCACACTCCTCCAAACAACTACCATACAAAGCGCACAAGCCTCCAAGTCCCAACCATCAACACCTCCGCGAGCGAGCAAACACGAAAGCTAAGTACAGAACCCATCACCGACCCTCGCCTCCCCCGCACCAACTGACAAACCGACACCCAACCTGACAGGAACAGAGCGACCGAGGTCCTTGGTCCCGCCAAACGAGGGGAAGGTAGTTACGGCCCGCGACCATCACAAAATAAAATAAATCAAAAATATCAAATCCGGTCTTAATACCGTCCCGCAAGTTCCATATCATCCTCCACAGTAGAATCCCACCCATCACCCCCCACCAACCCTCCCGGAGAGTACCCCAGCTCAGCGAACTGCTCCGGGGTAAACTCCTGAAGAGCGGCGAACGTACCATCCAGCGTAGCCCTCGAGACAGAAGCCGAAGCCTCGCCCCACGCCCGGCCACGCCCCCTCCCCGATCGCCGTTTGCGCCGCCGACCACCAGAAGCACTAGACTCCCCGCCAGCAACATGCCCAACCCCACCCCGCACTCCCTCCTCCTCCACCAGTGCCCGCTTTCTAGCCTGCTGCCCCGGCAACCTCAACTCCAGGAAGTCAGACATGCTAACTCCCACACTCGGAGGCGAGCTCACAGCTCGACGCCCTACAGGCGCCACCGAAGGGAACCGAGTCTTGTACCGCCCCACCACATACGGGTTCTCACCCTTAGGCCAATGCCCACGGGGAAAGTGCCCGGGGGGGAGGTCCGGACCCAAAGCAACATCCACCAATACCGTAACCACCGAGCCGTCCGACGAGACAGACCCATCAACCGATCCTTCATCGACGGGGGACAAAGGCA